CGGTCGAGGGGAACGCTTTCGGAAGAGAAATCGTCAAACATTTATTTTTATCCTCGTTTTATGAATTTAAACGTACAATAAATTACACCACGTCCCCGCAACAGGGTGCTGTGCGACACGTCTTAAGTATTTTCGTCATCCTTCTTCTAAACGATATTTCATCTTTAACGCGTCTCTATGGAATAAAAACACGCGCTTAGCCAATTGTTTTATAATATTTCATTTCGTCGGTCGTAATTACACAATAATTATATGAACGAATGTGGAGCGTAGGCCAAAAACGTAATACGTCTTTCAAAAAATAACCACAGTTTTGGTCCCATCGAATCGGATTGTTTTGTAGAAGAACTATATTGAATCAACATCATGTGTGCACGGTTTTTAAACTCTATTATTGCATTTCGTAGTTCGATATGGGGGGGGGGCAGCTAACAATTTCCAAGAATTCAATTTTTCGAAAAACTAATACATTTTACTTTTAGTTAAAACTTCTTATTTAAATTCTAGTTTAAATCTTGTTTCGGATTCCGTCAACGGTTCACTGTCATTAAATGCATATCATTATTACGAACCATTATGAATTATGAAAATTATGAAAAATACTATTTTAATGATAAAAAAACGTTAACAAAGTATAATAGAACTTTGATATACTTGTTCGTATTTTTATTCCTCTCGATACACTTTATATTACAATGTTTCTAATGGAAAAAACAACTTTTAGTACAATGAGAAAATGATTCACTCATCATGGAGAAACTATTATTATCCATTCACCTCAGAGTAATATTTATTTTAAATTTATATTTTTTTGAATTTTACATTAAATTACATTAGTATTATATTTTGAATATTAAATATTTAATGTTTATTATTTTAAAGGTTTACTTTGTTATACTATAGAGTACATAAACGTTTTTTTTTTGAAACTAATGAACTAAATAGTTTTAAAGTGAGTTAATATTGCACTCAACTAAATAAAATTATATTTATTATACATCTACAATTATTTTTGTTTATTTAATTATATTAAAATATAAGTTATTCTTTTAAAGTTATTGAACTTAACATATTTGTTCAGTTTTGAATTTATATTAATAAATTAGTTGTAATTTTAATTAAACTATTCGACATGACAAATTTCATATTTTATTTGTTTTTATTAAGTTCAAATTAAAGTTTAACATTTTTTTTTTATATTAATTACCTTATCTTTATTGTTTAATTACTCAGGAGAATGTCTTAAAAAATAACGTTTGCTCATTTTTGGCTTACAACGGTTCCAAGTGGCAGTTTAATATATATATATATATAAAAATTAATTACAATGGTTTCGACCTAGGTTGATCAAACATTGATATAAAATTAAACTTATAAATTTACTGAATCTCAGTATATTTATATAGAAACTATTTCTATAACTCATATAAATATACATTATGGCAGATATAATCAGCATCAATTATTATAAATTGCGTTTTGATTAAACAGGTTAATATTAATTACTACTTCACTTAGCAATTACCTATTGATTCATTCATCCACGCTGTCCACCTTATAGTTTTGGTAGTTTCAATAAACCTGCCTCTCAGCTTGATGTTTGAAGTGTTGAACATTTTAAATACTATTAAGATAAGACGTAAAAGGTTTTTGAGCTCTTTCCTATGTAATTTGCTTATATGAACTATATCTGAAATAAAAGTTTGTGTGACCACCTGCGTCTCATAATTAGTGTTTAATAATGCAAGAGAATATTATATAAATTTATTATTACATATTTACTACCTAATAAGTTTTCTATCAACGTGCTTGCAATAAAGATATACACACATAATGTTCTTTTAAGTTATTTTATAGTGTTCCATATACTTTTTATCGTTTAGTGTTATACAAAAAATAAATATAAGTATATTACTTGTTTTGACATTATTTAAAACATTATCTACACGCGTATTACTATTATTGATTAATTTTTAATGTTATAATTGCGTGTACAAAAAGTAATAAAAATTTAATTCCAATATAAACATTATAAACTAAACGAATAAATAATAAAAATTAAATTACATAAATTGATAAATGAATTCACGTATTTTTATGTATTTTTTAATTTGGTACACAATATTATTTTAACGCTTATTAGTGATGAATAATGTGATAAATAAAATTTTAAAAAACTTAAGTTAATAATAAGTACGTTATTAGGTACATTAGTCATTTAGTTAACCGACACTCATATTTTAAAAGAATAATTATGTGCTATCCAAAATACATTACTAGGTAGATTATTACATTCAAAAAGGATAGTAAAAAATACAATCTTCGAAACAGTAAAAGAAGAATCTTGTGTGACATTACTTTGAAACATCAAACACAAAATTCACACCCTTAAGACTGCAGGTATGTTACACTGAAGTTCAAGATGTGCATTGTACATTTTTTTGCATAATGTACAATATCCATGTTTAAAGAAAAATTAAAATCGTTTAAAATGCATTATTATTATACACGTATCAGAAGAGAAATTAATATTAATAAAACATACTCCTATCGCTGAGGCCTATTTGGTCTTATATTTTTCATGTTATTTGTAATTATTGTGTTCCGTTTTCTTTTACACACATAACATGGATTATAATTTTATAAATGAAGAAAAACATAAAATAACGAAACATTTTTGTTTTTTTCATTGCTGTACCTTACTGTACATTGATATACGATTATAAACGATTATAATCATACGATATAAAAAGTAGTTATTTAATAATGTCAATGATTTAAAACACGTGATATTTTAATAATTGTGTGGATGAAATTAAGCCATTGAATATGGTTCTAATGCAGGTAATTACGAATTTAAGATATACACAGAAGGAAGGATTATAATACTATAAAGGATGCGCTCTGACCTTAGAACGCATCAACAATCCATGTTTAATTGTTTGTTCTATTTGGAATACATAGTAATACTAATACTTTCAAGTTTAAATCATGTCGCATATTATAAATGTGATAAAAATCGCTTATTATTTTTACGTGTATGTGTGATGAGTAATATAAACTAAATGTTATTTATTTGCCCATTGAATACGTATTTTCATAAAATATCACTTATTTTCGCAAAAAATGAATTTAATATGTACTTCTACCATGTTTTCGAAAGATATTTTATATTTTTTTCCCCTACAAATGAATCTGACCCATAATTAATAACGAACCTTTATTGCATAATAGTATCTTATAACCACGAACAAATTGTAAAAGGATAAACACTACTTATTTCTTTAAAATTACATACTATATTCGACGATATATTTTAATAGACTTAATAGTCCATGACTTATTTATTATTTATTTATTAGAATTCCATACACACATATCCGGTTTGCAGTGTAGGCATTAGAGTATACAATTGAATAGCAAACTTTTGAAATTAGTTAACTTCGGTTGGTACCTACAATACTAAGCTAGTTACTAATTTTACTTTTACAGAAAATTGACTGAATATATTGCCCAAGTATTGCACAACAATATTATTAGGAGAAAAAAAAAGTTGATTGATTGATACTCATGATAAAATTTTGCATTAGAAAGATACATTTATTTCGGATATTTTTGTTAACATTTAAATTTTTTACGAAACTGACGACAATGAAACGTCAGTTTGTATAGAAAGAACAATAAGTGTCGAAAACATCTGATAAATTGAACCCGGTTAGAAAAAAAATAATGGACAAAATTCAGAACTTGGTACTGGACATTCGTCTCGCTTCACTCATAACGCAGTCGCAAGTCAGAGTCACATTATTATTATAAATTTTGAAACAATGATAAATCATCATGTTTAAAAGAAAACCAATTTTAAGCAAGTTAATTAGTGTTTTTTTTTTTTATTTATTTATTTTTGACATTTTTCATTTGTTCGTACATTTATAAGTACATTTTATAACCGATATAAGTAGATTTTTTTTATTATTTATACCACATCTACTAATGTAGTTAATAGTAAAAACAAGATTTCTATGATTTTGTTATTTTTAGAGTATAAATAATTATTAAATTATTATGATTATTATTGTATAATAATTCTTGTCAGGGTATCAATGTAGACTGTGTATTTATTAATAGAAACTTCAAACGAATCAATACGCCATTTTTTGATGTTCTGTATATTAGTATATAAAAGTTTTATTGATACACAATTGAGTTTATCATAATAAGGACATGGATAAAAAATGTTTTCAAAGTAATCGTTCAACTAGAAAGGATTTACGATCGATTGACAAAGAAAACACGTACACACGTACAGTAAGACCGATTGTAGTTTCTTCGGTCCATTGATGACGATGTAAGTAGAAAAAAAAATCTTCATTTCCACGGTGGATTTCATGCGGACGCTGAAGAACACTACAGAACGAATCGTGACGGAACCGTTCACAGTCCTTCTGAACGATAGCGCAGAAGGAAAATGCATCATAAAAATTTTAAATAAAAACGAAAACTGAAGCCGTAGTATTTCGACGAGACGATTAAAATAAATAATAATCGTTGCCGGGCCATCAGCAATGTCGACCACATCTTATCGGCAGTCGAAATCATTGTTTCGCCAATTCACCGCAGTCGGTTAAAGGGGTCGTCGCCGTCGCCGAAGGGTGTGTGAGCTGCGTCGACGGGGTAACGGTCGAAGTGGGGGTGGTACACGGGCACTGTAGCTGCCTGCCAGGACCCGAATAAAAACCGTTCTCGGCCGTTGGCGCGGCGACTGCGACGGGGTAGTGGCGCTCGGTAGCCGTCGGTCGTGGTCGTGCGGTGGCGGCAGCGCGGTCGATGGGTCGGCGAGTGAAAGGGTACGATCGGGTAGACTGGCGGAGGGAATTGAAAAAAAAATCCGACAGGAGCACGGTGGGAGGGAGGTACCGTAAGACCGTCGCCGCCAGCGCTCACTAGGCGCCGCCGAGGCAACGACCAGCGGCGGCGTAGGCGAGCAGCAGCGCGGGCAGCGGCGGCGGCAGTCCTCGTACGAACCCCACCACATTCGGGTCGTCACTATGAGTTCGCAGCCCGAGAAACGTTACCACAACCGCAGTCTCGTTCCCGTGTCAACCGCGATCGCTCCGTCTTCGTAGGTAACCGCGTGGTGAACTGCACGGCGGACCGGGGAATAAAAGATGTCGACGAACAAGACGACGATCGGTAGCAGTGTGTCAGCCGAACGCTCCGTCGTCCACCGTTCGCGACCGGTATAAACACCGGGGCCGCGGTGTTTTCCATTTTACGATATTTTGTTTTTTGATATTTTTTTTCCACTTCCGTACCGCGCGAGTGTGTTCGGCGAGTCTCAAACGACGTACTGAATAAATATTACAATCGTGTACTTCGCATCGCGTTTCCGTGTCCGTTCCGTGGTTCGACGACGGCGACCGGACCGTCTCACCAGACATGATCGCGCGGACCCCGTCACCGTGAGCTGATCCACGAAATCGTGAGTAACTAAATTATCTACTATATTATGCGACTTTTCTACGATGTACGAATATTATAACAATAGTAACGTCATTATAGCGATCGTAGTCGACGTGTATTAAAACTGCAGATCCGTGAACAGATGCGTTCATTATTTATACGATATGTACAAGAATATTGTATAAAGATCCTTGTAATGACAAAAAATCCATTTAACAATTCCTTTTAAAATATCTGAAGAACGTGTAAAATGTGTACGTCAAAATTCAGTATCATCCAGTGAATGAAAATATCATAGCACTATAATAGTGATCTTGAAGAATACCTATAACAAAGTAGTTAGATAATTGAAATCTCAAAAGTTATAAAATAAACAACTTTTATTAATTTTCGAAACGATTTAAAATCTGTGGTGATTACGCCATATAAAACATTCTTTTTTACATAATTTTTTTTTAAACATACCGTTGGAAGAATCTAAAACAATCTAGTATATTACATAGTATATGGCATTCTGTAATATTATTTTACTTTAAGTGGCGTCCGAGTAAATATAATCATCAGAAGCTAATGTTCTTGTTCATTCGACTATCATAATATTAATTAAGATTTTTTAATATTTAAAATACAAATATGTATAACTTGTCATAATAAATTCTTCAAAATACTCAGAAAATGTTTAATTTGAATTTTAGGAGAATAGTTTTAAATTGGACTCTAAGACTTAAAGTGACATATCTGCATTTTACGATTGTAGGTTTATTTATTACTAAAATAATTTGAATCTCTACGTGCAATAATTTTACCAGACTTAAAATGCCGATAAACCTCGCGATGAACTAATTGATTTCCCTTCTATTTTTGTAAGAATCAGTTCTTATTCTGATTGAGTTTAAATAAATGTATAGTCTCTTTTGGTAGAGTAAAAAGGGTCTTTTGGCTATTAACTGTTAAGTAAAGATATCTATACTTTTGATCCATCATTTAAATGTTAATAATTAAGAATAATATAATTGTCATTGAGAAAGAGATAAACAATTTACAATAATTGTAAACATAAAAATTTAAACCTCAAGATTTAAAGATAAATAGTTATGACAAGTAACTATTTTCTGTTATTTTTATAGGTAACTTGGTAGGTAATTCTTCTGTTAGAAACACAAAATGTATGAATTTATAACAACAAATATACAATATATATATACTAGCTAATATATGAATAATAATAATGTATTATAATTTTATCTATTTTATTATTGACATAAAAAAAAGAATCGTAGTTTAGTACAAATTCGATATAATAAATTGTTTTTTAATCATTATCCATTGTTAACCATCCTATGCTTAAAACATAGTCGCGTTATGAGATCCATTCTTCTATGTATTCTAAGATTCTATATCCCTAGATGCATCTAGAAATAAAACTTCAACATAATCTTTTATAAAAAGTCAAATATCGAACCACTGAATTTTCTTTAAGCTTTTTTAATACTCGCATTAGCATTACATATGTTTTTTTTAAATTATTTCAGATGTATTTAAAAAAAAAACAAAATTCGTAAAATACTAAAATAGTTAGATTACTTACTATCTACTTTATAAAATTTATTTTTACAAAACAATCATGAAATAATAAGAAATATTTTGCGGTAAATTGGTACAATAATAATTAATTACTTTACTATTTTTGTTGTAGACAAATTCTGTTTATATACAAGTGATAATTCACATTCCGTTATCCCATAATCACCGATTATTGATGTAAACAGTTGTTATCTTAGTTTATATTTAAGTCGGAACATTTTGAAATAATTAACACACATTAGGCGATTCGAACGCGCGCGTCCGTGTTTTAAAAATATCGGGATTAATATAGATTATTAATATATAATAATATATATATATTATTAATATAGATTAATATATTAAAAATCGCTTAAAATTGAACATGCAGTTGGTTGTATATAGATTGCATGCAAGAAAATGAGATTTGCGTTCGGTAGCGTCTGGTTGCGGTTGGATGTGACCAATTACGCATGTTTAATTTTGAGCTTTTGGTCATGATTTGAAACTATTATTAAATATTATTGTTCTCTAAAATTTCCTAGATAATTCCAATGTATTTCTATCGTTTTAATACATGTAGATGATTTAAACGCCACTATTGTCTGGCGTTTGTTTACGTTCATTCATAATTTGTCTTTTACCGTAGACAAGATGTACTATAAGTTTTTAAAGTTACATTAAGTGTCAATATATTCCATGAATTTTTCTGAGTAACTATAAAGGGTCATAAAAGACACCTTGAACTGACCACTAGACAGCGTTTTTAAATTTAAAGAATGGACTTAGTGTCGTCTTTTAACTTTTTTTCGTTGCTGTTTCTTATATATTTCATAATCTTCATATGATGCAAAAATAATACTTGCGGCTTTAATATCGTCTAACATTTTCATATCGAAAAATATAAAATACAAAATGAAATTTAAAGTTCAATAACAAATTATCAGCAGTCTTAAACAATGAGCGGTAACGTCAGTACTAATCTAGTATGCAATAAAATACTAAGAATTGAATAAAATTTGGGGCGCTTTTTACAAGTATTTTTAGAAAAACCTACACAAATCGTTTAAAGTGAAAACGGAATACAATTTTGAAACGCAGGTAAGGGTTTTCGAATCGTCTAGTAAGTAATCAGCTTTAGGTATTGAAGATTGTATAAGTAAGGTTTTTTTTATTTTTAATCTTATGTTATTCAAATTTAAATGCATAATTATAATTTTTACGTTTTAAATATATACCTAAGTATTATATTTTAATTTACACATTGTTTTATCGTGATAATATATTTATTCGAAAAAAGTTTATATCTTCCCTTTCAGCATTTAATTATATTTAAAATCACAATTCGTTACCATAAATATTATTATAAAAGTCATGTTTGGAATAATATATGCGTATATAACGTATGACATTACTGTTATGTATAATATGTTTTATATTTTAAATTCACTCTTAAAAATTAAAAATACTTGTTACTTTAGATATTAATTTTGGTTTTTAATTTTTATACTTAGTAAACATATAGGTATTAGGCAGTTAAAAATTATATATGTTATATAAATTATAAAAAATAGTTTAGTTTATTTTTTATCCAAACAGAAAATAATTAAATTGGTATTGCTACAGTCACAGAATCAAAAACATAGCTAGAAATTCCATCCGGGGGGGAGGGGGGGACAATCAATTATCAAAATATTCTTAGTGATAATTATTAAGTGTATAATAAATTATTCCTCATAACAATTTTTTTATTTTATTTTATGTTCTTCAATTATAACTAAGAGATTATACAAAAAAAAACCGAATACATTAAAAATATTCATATGAAGTTGTAATATTAAAAAAATATTAATTAAAACTATTGTTTGATAAAAAAAAATAGTTAATATATAGGAAATGATAATTTGAATACTTAAAATATAATTAAAAAAAATATAAAAAATATATTGAAAAAATTAAAATTTGATAAGTTGTAAGCAGTTTAAATATTGTTTCTAATTCAATTTTTCTTTAAAAATTAATATGTTACCAATGGTCAGGGGGATTTCCCTTTCCTGCTCTCTTCTGAGCTACGCTCTTGCACAAAATATAATATATTATTATATTCATATTCTAAAGTAAAATTAAAATGTTGTCAAATTAATAATATGGAATATTTTTATACATATAAAATAAAAGTATTTTTCTATTCCCTTTGATACTTATATTTCTTATTAAATAATAATTAAAAAAATAACTTTTATTCATGTACAATTATTTTAAACTACAATATTAACATTAACTATTAAACACTCTAATTATTCACGCATAATCCAATAATATAAATGTATTTAAAGGGTTATGAATATCACAAGTACAATGCGTTTAATATAAATATGACCGTATTATGATAATGATAATTAGGGCATGGATGTTGTTGAATTTGCAACTTTTCTTCTACTGCTCCAATTTATTGCTAAGTAAGTTGTAAATAAGTTTCGTGTAGGTAAAGATGAAAATCTAAAATTTTAAAATTTTTGACATTTTTTAAATTTTATTGCAATTTTGTTGACTTTACTCATTTATAAAAACAATTTAAGCTATATTTTAAATGTTTTCACATAGTTTCACTTTTTAAATACTTTTTAAACGGTTTTATAATAATGTCATGAAATAAAATTGTTAAATTGCTTTAAGCTTAAAGTACCTACATGATATATTGATGTATATTGTTTATATATTTTGTCTATTGATATTATTGTACGTATAGTCAAAACAATACTTTGATTATTTTTAAAATCGAATCAGTTTCGTCATACTGTGATTATCGGATTCGTCGTATTTATAATACGTACCGATAAGATTATATTATATATAACAATTTTGAAAAGGTCATTAAAGTTATTAAAAAATACCGTATTTGAAACCATAAGTATAAAAAATGATTTACTGACTAGAGAAAGAAAGCTGTTAGAAGATGGTTTACCCGAAGGCTCGACGGTAAGCGATTTAGTTTATTTTAAATACGCTCACATCAACCGACGTAGAACGATGTTTTTCGAAGTATAAAAACTTACTGGCTCCAAGTCGAAGAACATTGGATTTTGAAAATTTTAATAATTAAAATCTTAATTAAGAAATATATATCTAGTATATCTTCAGAATTAATAAATAAAAGTAACTATACTACTACACTCTCTTAAGTTAGTATATGCTACAAAAATATAGATGTTCTTACTCGTGTCTTACATATTATAAGCTAGCTATAAAGTTGATGATAATTTATAATCAATATTTATTTCACTACAAGTTTAATTAATTTTCAAAAAATCAAACTGATTATTTTTAATTAATTAATTTTACATAGGTAAGTCCTTTTTTTTTACACTAAATAATGAAAAATTTAATATAGAATTAAATAATTTAGTTCAATTCAATTAAGTAATTATTTTGAAATAAAAACATTCAATTAATTTTTTTATTATTTAAAAGTATTCAGTATACCTGCTAAATGTTTTGAAAAATGATTATGAGTGAATGATGATAGTATGCTATATATCTCGTAATATATTATATAAGCATCGAGTTTATGTTTCAAATGATTTTATATTCTTAGACAATAGAACAAATAGGTAATACCAGAGGTAATTAGGTATTATTTGAAATATTAGAGATATTATTTCGATTAATTAATATTTTTTTCGGATATTAATTATATAGTTTAATAAATCATAATTCATATAAAGTTAAATAAAAAAATTAATAATTTTAATAATTTTGTGGTAATATACTCAATTTTTTTTTTAACTGCTAACACTTTCAAATAAAATATAGAAATCCAATAAGTATTTCATTTTATATGAATTAAAAGTTAAGATTAGCGTATTATAGAACTGATGTTTTTCGTGGAACTTTCAATTTAAACAACGTAATTTACAACAACGTTTAAACAACGTATGCAATAAGTATTTAACACTGAGAAGTCTGTCGTCATTTGTATATTTTATAATATAACAAATAATCTAGTTTTAATTTGGAATAAATACAATTTTCCACAGAAAAAAATTTTAATTATTATTATACAAATCTTTACGAAACATTTTGTTTGAACTTGAAGTAAATAACTGAAAATAATAATTTCTTAAATTAACATTATCCACGACATTATCAATGCTCCTAATTTAAAATGTTATTAAGTTTTCCATTTAAGTTGATATTTTTCCCGATTTATAATTTAAACTCCCGTTTAAACTTTAAAATAAATGCTAACCATATATTAAATGAGCATTTAACCATAAGCATATTTATTATTTTTATAAATTAAAAAAATACCTATGTTTAAATATTCTATTTTACCAATTACTGTAAGTACTGTATGTATATATTTTATTACATGGTAATATATTCAATAATACGAAGTTACCTAACTCATTTTTTGATTCATTACAGTTATTCTAGGTAACGATTACTAATAAATAATTTTATATCAATATAGACATATTGTATAACAATGCATTTGTTTATCTTAAAATATCAAGTATAATGTTTTATTAATGAGCATTATTGTTATGGATTTCAGTAAAGTAAAAGCAAAATGGCTTCTGTGTTGGCCGTGTCATCAGTAATATTCTTAACATGCTTGTCATGTTACTATAACAGCCTACACTGTGACTTTGTTTTTGATGATATCAGTGCTATTAAGGATAACCGAGATTTGAAACCTCAAACTCCAGTGTGGAACATATTTTACAATGATTTTTGGGGCACACCAATGTACAAGGTATTAGCATTTTTACATAAATAAATGGTTGCTTTAAAAAAATGTTAAATACATAATATGGATTACATTTTCGTTCATTATTATAAAATATTTAATGATACAAGAATTAGTTATATTTTTAAAAATAACATTACCAGCCCTTATATTCATGTATTTTTCAGGAGCAAAGTCATAAGTCATATCGACCTTTAACAGTTTTAACATTCAGATGGAATTACATGATCCATCAGTTGGAACCCATGGGATATCATCTTGTAAACATATTACTACATGCCATAACAAGTGTTCTCTACTATAGGTAAGTTTAATTTGTGTTTATTTTTTTAATAGCTTATTTACAACTGTATAATAAGATATAATTAGATTATGTAAAAAGTTGTAAATCAATCAAATGAATTGTAAATTGTAATTTATCCACTTTTTAGGTTACAAATCTCGTTAACTGTTACAACTTTGTATTCACATACGTGAATCTGGGAAGTATAGCTGTGTAGATTACAAAATACGTAGAATTTGACCCCATACAAAACCCTCCTTTCTTGGTAAAATTATTAATCCCAGCAACAGTATCTGAAAAGCAAAACTTTGCGAAAACTTTGCACCTCCGAAAACCACTATGGGTCCTAGAACTTTGAGCGACTATACCTTAGAATTCCTTAGAATCTACATTTAGTACTTTCTCTACCTATTATTAATTACACTACATTTTTTTTATAAAACTATTCAGCATAATAATGAATACATTTTTTTATAATTATTTTGAAATTTGCATAGGTTTCAAAATTCATTTATAAAAGATTAAGGTATAAAATTTAATGTAGAACAATTTAAAAAAAAATTAACTTTTTAGTATGACGACTTATCGTTTAATAAATGTTAAAAAAATTATTTATCATATAATATTTTTTAAATAATCTCTAAATGTTTTTTAGTTATATTTTCGTTATTAGAATTACGTTAGTAAAATTCTAAGAACAACTATTTATTTTTGTATTTTATTATTTTTACAGATTTTATAAAATAAATTAAATAAGTGAATGTTTAAATTATGTTAAATAATTGTATTTTAGTACATTATATAAATTATACATGTACTAAAATACAAAAAAAAAAAAATTATAAATAAATTATACATATGTTAACTTAAAGTATTACTGTTTATACATAGTATGTATAATCAGTGCACAAATATATTTTACTTAAATTAAATAATTTTTAAAATACTGAAATTTATTTTTTCTTTGATGCATCTAAAAAACTATATAGAATATCTAATTCTAGTTATATAGAAAATATATTTCTAAAATAAATTAAATATCGTGTTTATTTGTTCATGCCATAAATTTAATTTTTATCATTATCTAGTTTGATAAAATCATACTAATTTGAAAGAAACCACATTCTCTACTTAATTTGTTAGTCAATTATTTCTGAAAATACTGGATATCAGTTCAGAAACTAAATTGCCTTAATTCAATTTTCAATTCCTGATGACCATTAACTAATTATAATAATATTTTTTTTTACTAGATAGTTTTATTTTAAATTATATAATTATTATTTAACTATTATATAACGTATTATCCATATTTATGAATTTATTTGTTCGCATAATTGGAAATAACTTTCATGTGTTGTATATATATAGTTCTCGTATGACCTATATCTGAAAAATATTTAATTTAAAAGTAAAATTATTTGTTATGGAACATATGTATACTACGTTAAATCTTTCTTACACAACTATAACCACTCGTATCTACCATTACCATATAGTCCAATTCCCCACCACTGATTTACATACACCTGCTACCCTCATGTCACCCTCAATTCCATCAAACTATATCTCCTACGCTTTCTTTTAAAATTTATTTTCATGACACCTCTCATTGTATCTATCTTATCCGTCCTTATAACCATCTCAACCTATTTTCTCTCATTTTTTCTCGATTGGTGCAATTTTTTATCCTGTTGCATGTATACCTATTATTACCTATTTCTTATCCTATTATTCCTAATCACTCTACTTTATCCATCGTATTTTATATGATTTATATTATATATAAATATATATATAGTATATTTTACTATTCTCATAATTTGTAATATTCCCCTGTTAACTGCCCAATATTCCGATCTATACAACATTGTTAGACTCATAATAATGCAATAAAATTTATCTAAAATCTTAACAATATTATTTCTTATAAAATAAATTACCTTGAATTAGAGATTTAATAATGGATTTATGAGATCATTATTACTTTATGCATATATACATGTAAACTAAAATACCTTGTTATTCCGTTATTTCTAAAAATCCTACTAAAATCTAATTGCTTCTTCTTCTTCTTCTTCTTTGTGTTCTTCTTCCATCGAAGGTTGGAAATCATGGCTATTTGTTCTTTGTCCTTGGCTGCACTGAATAATTCCTTAGTATTGTATTGGAAATGTTAGAATCAATATTGAATTTCAAATTTAAATATAAAAGTTGGTATAAATATTTTTTCAGGTTCATACATTTATCCTTTACCTAATCAAATTATAAACTTTATATTTAATCAAATTCCAATTTTAAGTTAGTTTTAAAAACTTGATCGATTTCTTATACTTATATCTTTGTCTAAAAGTGAAAATCATGGTAAATTAATCTTAAATAAACAAACATTAAAAATAGCATTTTTAAATTGAAACTAGAAATAATATTAAAATACATTTTATGAGTTACGTTAGAGATAATATTTGTGTATACACCCGCCAAGTATTTGTTGTGATGATTTTATGTTCACCAACAATAACAACTATAATTGTATTTATATTTTTAGATATAATTAATTTTCATATTACATAAAAATTATGTAAATAGCCATCATTCGGTTTGTCCAAATAATATTTGGAATATTATATATATTATATATTTATAATTAAATTTATGTCTTTGTGCACTTAATGTCTGAAACGCAAACCATTAAAGCCTATTAAGAAACTGTTTATCAAGGTTATAGCTATTCGTAGACTTGTTTCCTGTCATCAACACGCTTTACAGTTTTGACAAATTTCCCCCTACCTTCAGTAGTTTCTATAATGTTTTCTTTACTTTTATTTTATGTTTCTTGTCATTATTATAAATTAAAAATGTAAGTCATTTGAATAACTAAACTTTATTAACTGGTTTAAAACTGTAATTCGATTCAAACAAGTATTTTATATTAATTGTATAATTTATACATTTTATTGTAACATGATGTTGAAAAATATTACTTTAATTAAACGATTTTTTTTTTAATTAATTGAATACAAAATATCCTGTTTTTTTATTTACATATATGGTATTTATAGTTTTAATTTTCTTAAATATTTGATTTGAGATTTCTATGATATAATCAATATAATATTTATAATACTATCTATGCAGCAGTGGTGGGCAACTGGCGGCCCACGAGCCTTTTTTATCTGGCCCGTGCTAAATCTTTAAATTATATCATACAATTTTAAAGTTTATTGTCTATTTTATCGATATAATAATTTTTATCTAGTATTAAACATCGTTCAATGTCTAAGTATCATATGTATGTATACGCATAGCTTTCAACCATAGCTGTTTGTGTTGCACTATTTAACTATATTAGTTTCTTCGTATCATTCGTGTCGAGCTGTCATGTGTGTTGAATTTATTATTTCCGTACATATAAATTTTAATTAAAATTCGTATTTGAAATGGCCTTTTTTGTTTTCTACGCTGTGGCCCACTAGATTTTAATATTTTCTAAAAAATAGCCTCTAGTAACTTTGAGTTGCCCATCCCTGTATATAAGAGTGTAATAAAATTTACCATTAAAATATAAAAACTATATATCGTATTATTAAACTAGGTTTTGTGTGTTCTACTATAAACAAACAATTCTTATTTGTTTAAAAAAAAAAAAATACTTAACTTTATGCGTGATTATTACAATTACTTATGTTTAAATGCTGAATTATGTTCTGGTTTGTTCCTAAATGTAAAAATGAAAGTTTTGTGAGTTCTAATTTAGTTTAATTTAATTTAATAACTACTCAATGTTCAATGCTGATAAGCAAATAACTTTTAATATTATGTAGGTAATATAATATATATTTGAGTTCACATGTATTATAAAAGACTGCAGAACCATTGTATTTTAGCCTCCAGAAAATGCTTACCGTTCTACACTGTTCCGACGTCCTTTTAAGGGTTATTTTTTCTTTATTTCAACAGCATTTTACATACATATTAATCTATCTGTTAAGCTCTTTTTATAAGTATTATGATAAAGAAAACACTTTAATATGTAAAAACCATTTTTCAAATACGGAAAACACTTTTTATATGAAACTATTACCAATGATTAGGTTCTGTTTATTTATAATTTTAAAATATCATATTTTATCATATAGATAAACCGGATAAGTAATATAATTTTTTATTTATAGAATATTTAAAGTGTTATATGCACATTTAAGTATTATCATTTACAGAATTACTTGAGTAATATATTTTATTGGAAATTTATAAAAATAAACGGCTATGTACATATGTGTGTATTATTTTTTTGTATGGTATATATTTCGCAAATATATTATTATTTTCCAAGTAAATGGTTCAGAATATAATAAAATAAGTTTTAAAGTTCCTTAAAAAATGCTTTTCTTCTTATTGACTTTAACTTAAAATGAATTAAATAATTCCTGTGATAGAAAAACAAAAGAAGTTAAAAATTACTATTATTATTATTACTAAAATAATATTATATCATTTATAAAATTCTCTAATTAAAATTTTTTAAAGTCAATCAAAATAGTATTCTTTTCATTAGCAGCCATATTATTTTTTTTTAACCATTTACGTTTTGTTAACTTTTTTCTCCTCCGGTTTGTTTATGTCCAAACGATATCGGCCTTATAAATAAAATAACATAATACTCATACTCTCCATCTATATGTTGTAACAATATTATGTTTTATTTATTATTTTAGTTCAAGGGGTTTTTCAGTCATGTATTGACTTTTTCTACAAAATAAATGTTCAAGATATTCTTATGTTCATAAGAAAGAACAAAGTTAGTGGGTGATTTGCATTCTTAGAAAATACAAATATTAAATCTTTCCATTTTGTATGCTCAAAAATAATTGGAGTTATAGACTCTTTGATAAACAGTCTAAGATGAAATTGTATGGCACCTGAAAATTATTCCTTTAAAAAATGTTCTATCTTATCCTTACAATAAATCAGATATTATTTTATTTGTGGTAAAATCTTAGACAATTGTCGATATCGACAGGTTTCTGGTATTGTTCATATTAAGTAGTTTTCACTATATCCAATAAAGATGTACATTTTTTTTAAATACTATAGCTACAACTTAGTCTGTTGATAATGGGACACATATATGTATATCGAAGACATTTTCAATATTCATGTAAAATAAATCTATTTTCACTTAACAAATGTGATATATTTATTTACAATTTTTTTAGGGTCTGTCATACAATACTAGCATCCGAGTTCACTAGCTTTATGGCTGCTATGCTTTTTGCTATTCATCCCATACATACTGAGGCCGTAAGTATTATTTTGTTTTTTATCTATGCTTTCTTATTATATTATAACATCACGTGTTTATCTTATAGTATTAACATCATCAATATTAAATATTTTTAAATTATAGAACCTAAAGAATTACATTTTAAAACTATTAATTCCACACCATGTTCATAAACTACGTCAGTGTTATGAGTTTAAACAAATTAAAATGTTAAAGTGGAATAAAATATAGTTATTTAAATCTTAGAATGTAATGAAATTAGTAAAATAAATAATTAATTAATGTTTATTTCGGATTATGGTATTTTTAATTTCTTAATTAATCCTTTAAGGAAGTAAAGATTTGCATTTGAATATAATTCAGATTAATCTCATAAAATGTAAGTATTTACATAAAACCTATAATCCTGAATTTTATAGAATCTTTTTTGTCATTAAGTATTTTTTTTATATACCTAAATAAAAAGAATTGTTGTGTTAAATTTTTATTAAAATCTATGAAATTTAATTGTTTGGTATTAATTTCCAAATATTAATTAATATTAATGTCAGATCAGCCGAAATATGTTTAGTATAAAATACTCATACAAAACGTCCTATATAAAAGCAAATATGAATATTTGTCTAAATTATGTTGATTTATATTCGACGCACATTGGATTTAAATGTTACTAGTGGTTAGAGGTTATTAATAAGCTTGCACTTTCACCAGTTGCGTGTCAAGGGTCTTGGTGAAAAAAAAAAAAACCTTTAAATAAGTTAGGAGGGTATGTTTAATATTATTTTTATTAGCCTCTCGCATAATAATGCCTTATAAGTATAACAGCCGAAAAACCAACAACAATATTGATCGGCTGTCCTACTACTAACTTTATAATTCTTCGTCGGAAGATTTAAAGACTTTATACGACTGTAGATTCTATGTTATCCTAACATTATAATAGATGAAAATGTCTATCAATTTTATCTTGCATGGGTTTGTATCTCAGATATTAAAATATATAATATATAATTATTATATTGATATTGATATATAGCAATGATTAATTTTTTATATATTATTTATAATACTGTTACTTAACGGTTCTTTGTTGATTTTATCATTTAATCTAACCTGTGGTTTAATTCTACGCGCTCGACGTAGAATTACTAACCAAAGGACCGTGTTAGCACTCGCCACTATTTACGAGCCTTGGTCGGGCAGGACTACCGCTTACGTGGGAATCCCGTGTCGTCTATGGACCACCAGCATCGGCCTGAGCCGTACCTGTTTGGAACCCGTTGACCAGTCGGGTTCCCCCTGGGTGAGGGTTTTGTTACTATCTAGCGCCGGTTCCACAGCCACCACGTTACAGCCGAGGTAGGCACCTCAACCTTGAGGGACATCACATTCGGAGTGGCAAGTCGGTCTGACGTGTGATGGGACTCCCCTCTCCCGTGGTACCAATTAGGTTTTAAGTTGATATTGGTAGATCAACCCGACACACCTTTTGAGTGTGTCTCCCACTATTTTAATCCACGCCTTTTACGACAAGCCGGGTCACTGTCGCCATAATCTTATCCCTGGCGATAGGGTGTTGTTGATCTTATCAGCCAACATTTTGACATTCAGTGATGGATGAATCTCATAATCCTTACCTAACATAAATATCAACATTTTGATCCTTAATTATTTATGCATGTCTTATTCGAGAAAAATGAGTTTATTGTTTTGATCTTAAATTAACTGTTATTGTAAATTACAATTTTCCCCGATAATTTCAATTCCATATTCCAAAAAAAGTATTATTCGCAAAAGATTCATTCTATTTTAATACATGTATTTAACTGTGTATTTAACCATAATGTATATTCTATTATTTCTATTATAATTTACTCAAAATATACATAGTCGGAATAATTTTATTATGTAGAATTAATTTATATTTTTTACCTTTTATTAATTTTATCATTAAAAAATATTTATACATTTACTTTATTATATAAATATATATTCCCATAAACGATGTGATTTATTTACTAAACTACAAACACAAAATCTGATTAAATTATTGTTAATTTTTAAAACTTAAAATATATAATAATAAAGAAAATAATTTTTTTTTTTTTTTTTTATTTATTAGTTAAGCATCAACTACATAGGTTATTAGCTTACAGGCGTTAATTTTTACATTAAATAATTATATGTTGTTGTACAATTCAATTTTTTTTAAGAATAAAATTACGCTTTGAAAGTTTGAAAATGGACCAATTGCTTCGTACAGGTTGTCTGGGTTGTTGAAATCTTTTCTAGCTTCGTTGAAGTTTGGGCAGTGGATAATGATATGTTTGATGGAGTAGTTTGTATTGCATGTTGGGCATAGAGGTGGATCTGTCTTTATCATATGATAAAATAATTTTTATTACAGCATTCGAACATTATGTCTAAGTGTAGAACAATGATCAAGTTTGCGCAATTGTTAATAACATTTTGAAACATTCTGAAATTCTGATATTTTTGTAGCTTCGATAAAGAAATTTGAATTTTTATTTTATACTTCCATATTACTCACCATCTATACATTTTCAAACTAATTACTTATTAATAGTATTCATTATTGGTGTTTGTAATAATTTATAATAAATACAAATATTGTAATGATTACCATTAGACAATAATTATTTATACTTTTTTTTCTCATAAATTTAATATTATTACACTTTCGTACTACATCACGTGAAAAAGTTTTTAATACAACTTTTATCATTTTCTCTGTTTTAGTGAAAAATATAGTTTTAAAACTACTGATGTAATCGGTAACTTAATAAATCTCTATTCTTTAAAAAACAAAGAAATGGAATAAAACGTTAGCTACAAGTGTTAAACTGACCATAAATAAATAATTAAATTCTGAGTGAGGAAAAAAGATAAATTTTACTTTTCTATAATAATGAGTCTTGATAATTGGTTTTACCTTTACAGGTGTAATTGAGTTGTTATAGTTGCGATAAACTAGTGTTCTATAAATACAACTCAATAAACGTCGAATAACTAATGAATATTATGAATATTATATAAGTAATGAGTAAAATGTCGTCTGTCTAGAAGTCTACGGGGATCCTTTTTTAGGACACGCAAAAAAATGTTTTCAATGCATTTAGAGTATTTACGATATTTAAACAAACGCAAAAGACCAAAATTATTTTTGTTTGGCTTCAGGTGTTCAGCTGTTCCAAATTATAGTTTCTGTATTTTAAATATTAAAAGAGAAACTTTCATATTACTTAACGGAATTCATTGTTTATTTTTTCCTTTTTGACACCAATCAAACTTATACATTGTTTTTTATAATACAAGGTGCGTCGTAATGGACTTGCATATTTCAAATAATCATTAACGCATAATCAAAATTGTTAGATTAAACTGGTTTATTTCGATACATTAGATTATAAAAAAATGTTTAGTCGTCACCATGCCGTGATCCGGTGAACAACGTAGTTTCTTTATCGAAGCATTTTTCAAAAACGCCGAATGTGTGACGTGCGACACAGAGAACATTTCACAATCGGTTCGGCTTGAATCTAAACGAAAGTGTCCCTGCTCCGAAAACGGTTTTGAATTGGGTATACAATTTAAAAGCAACGGGATCTGCAATACCTAAAAATCCGGTTGAACATCCCAAGTCCGTGAAAACACCGAAAAATATTGCCGCAGTAAGAACATTGATAGAGCAGTCTCCGTCGTGTTCTGCTCGAAAACATACCTCTGCTCTCGGAATATCGGATTGAACGGTAAGGCGAATTTTGCATTGTGATCTTAAATTACACCCATACAAGATTATGGTAGCTTAAGAATTAAGTTCAACAGATTGGGGAAAACAAAAAGATTGCTGTAATGCAATTTTTGTAGTTGTGCCTCCCAACGGTATTATATGGAGTAGCGACGAAGCACATTTCCACATTTCTAGCACAGTGAATAAACAAAATTTTCGTTATTGGGCTGTTAAAAACTCTCTAAAAATACAAACACCACTTCATAGTCCTAAAGTAACAGTTTGATGTACTTTGTCCAGGATAGTAATTGTGGGACCTTATTTTTTTGAAGAGAGTGGTATCACAGTTCCTCTGACTTCCAACCAGTACTGCGAGATGTTGGAGAACTTATTATGCCCGAAAATTGAAGAGTATGAAAATACTAATACTTTCTGATTTCAACAGAATGGGGCCACAGCTCATATGCCAGTTGTTATCATGCTGTTTTGTAAAAAATGTTTCCTGGTCGCCTGATCTCTTTAAAGAAAAACATTACATGGCCTCCTCGCTCCCCTGCTTTGAGCCCATGTGACTATTTATTATGAGGATATTTCAAATCTGAAGTTTTTAAATATCGACCAAGAATCATAAAAAAACTAAAGAAGGTTATCAGTCAAGAAATCTCTGCAATTCCACTCGATATGCTGACGAGAGTGATGGAAAACTTTCGATAGCGGCTCCATATATGCGTCGCTCATCAAGGAAGTCATTTAGACGATATAATTTTTTAAAAATATAATTTAAAAAACCTTATAAAATAAAGTTTTTAAAAATAAATTTTTTTTTTCTATAGTAGGTATCGTTATTTTTTTTTCCACCTGGGAAATGTGGAAGACCATTATGCCGCACTCTGTATTATTTAAATTATTTTTTTTTATATTAATTAAATAGTTCCGAGTATTCAAACCATTTGGTAATATAATAAACTGATTTTCCGGCTTACCTATCTTGATAATCCCATACATGTATATATGTATATATATATATATATACATATATGTACATGTGAGAAACAGTTTAAACGCAAATCAATACCAACATTTTGAAATGTTTGACCTTGAGCCTTATTAATGGTAATAGCAAACGAAACTTTAATGGGGCATTGAAGTATTTTTGATAATAAAGTTAAATCAGTATAATTCAATAGTATACGGGGTTAATACAATTTCTCCCACCGTACAGTATTGCTACAGTAACGTGTTCAAGGACGGCCCGACGAAAATACACATTTTATTTTATTACTTCTAATATCCAATCAATTTTTCCAAATTGTATTATACACTAAAATCTTCCCCGAGACGGGACCAACTTTAAAATTAATAAGTAAAAAAAAGACGAAAAAATATAAAAAGAATCCAAAAGATAGGCCACCGAGACCGTGTTTGAAGACAAGAAACTGGGATCTATTATATTTATCAAATTTTAACTTATATTATTGAAGTTTTAGTAGGGTTCTATAATTTTTTCTAATAATAAATATAGCATATGTTGCTTAATTATAATGAAGCATTCTAATCGTGAAAAAATTTTTGATAACGGTTTTTGAGCTTTTTGAAAAAAATAAAAAACAAAAGCTATATCTTTATGTAATAGTAAGATAATATTAGATGAAAACTATATTCAGATAATAAGCATTTTTCATTTTACATTATATTATTGTTCATTTACCCACATAAAAATTATATTTCAAAATCATTAAATATGCTTATTATGCAAAAAGAAAAAATATTGATTTTATATAACTAGTAGCAAAAAAATCTATTATTTACTATCTAGTTTAATTTTAAGTATGGATATAGAGGTATATACAAAAAGTATTTAAATTTATACAATTGCATTATGTTTTATAAAGTAAATGTTTGTTTATTTTACGCTTATAAAAATCATTTTTAATAAAAACCATCCTTGTTAAATAGGTAAGTGAGTAGTTTAGCATAACAATTACAGACATGTTACTAAATTATGGAAGATTATTATTTTGCTTTGTGCTTCTGATTATGATATGAGAAAGGATGATTCAAACTAATTGTCATTTAACGTGCACGGTTGGGTCATTAGCGTACAACCGGACGATGTGTACAATATAATAGACAGTAGAATTAGGTAGGATAAACGTGGTTGAAAAGAGCAGCCTTTGTAAGAAATTATTTTTTTAATATACAAAAATATTAATTAAATCATAAAATATTAAAATTAATTAAATTTATAAAACCATGTTAAAAATAATAATTATTACTGTTCTATGAAAAAAAAAAGAAATAAATTATTTCTATAAATTAAATATATTATATATACATTGATATATTATTACTAATTAATTACATTTTTTTATGTCTTAGGTAACCGGCGTAGTGGGACGAGCAGAAACACTTTCATCTGTGTTTTACTTACTTGCATATTTATTTTATACAGAAGCAACTAAAAGAAAAAAATATTTTGGTAAATAAAAATAGTTTAATGGTTTTCGGTGTTAATAATTAAAAAGTATAATGTATTTAGAAAAAATTTATTGTTACTACTTACTATATTATACTTACTATACTTGAATAATCAATATTTTTACTTTTCAGGATGGAAGCCTTTAACACTTTCCGTAGTGTGTTTGAGCGTAGCCATGCTATGTAAAGAACAAGGAATTACAATAGCCGGGGTTTGTGTTCTTTATGAAGTTTTCGTCGCACAAAAGGTAAAATTTTCTTCGTAAACATTTTAAATAATTGTTTCATTTGACTATAAATGTTTATTTATAGATTATTATAAGCTTAATCAGTAGTTTACAGTAATTATTTTATGAATCACAGATATTAATAACGAGTTGTTCTGAAATTAATAACCATTTTCTTGTGCGATAAAGAACCATCGTGTCTTTAATCATATCTAAATTCTATAATATATGAAAATAAGTTTTGTAATTTCTAGTTGCGGCGCCAAAATATTGAATGTAAATTAGGGCATTCATAAGAGCTTTCAATAAATGTAATCACATTTTTAGAAACGTAATAATTTTAAACTACTTTTAAAAATATATACAAATCAATGTATAGTTTGAATAAGAAATTGCTTCTGTTGTTTCTCAGTAATTTAATTTTCTATTAGCATAGTTTTCATGATTGTATTTTAAGGAATTCTCAAAGATCTTTGTTATTTCGAATTCCATAAGAGGAACATTTAAATTTATTATTTTTTTATAAGATTATATTGCTCACCAAAAATTTTACTTAGATGAGATCACACATCCCATTTTACTTAGAATTAAAACTTTGCTTCGATTATTCCATAACACTGGTTTTTTACACCGGCTTGAAAATTAACAACAGATATAATGTATAATATATATATATATATCCTTGTTTGCTTAACCCTTTTCCGGTTTATATTATTTCTTGTTAGATTAAACCCTACCTACGTTATATTTTATTCTCTAGTGAGGAAGAAATACATCCTAGTATATAACTGAAAAAATTTATTAGATGCGTTTTTAAATGAATATTTTACTATAAATATTTTGTAATTATATTTGTTATGTAGTCTAATTTAGTTTTACATTTGTACTACGTCTTATTTTTAAATTCTAATTAATATAGGACAGCTATTGTATAGTATACAATTATTTGCTATTTTTATGTTTACTGATTTTTTAGAAAAACTTGGAAAAGTGAATGTACTAAAAAAATAAAATCGATTAGACATAAAACTATTGTTACAATAATTTTTACTTATTTTGGTAATTTTGGAATTTTAACTACATATTCGTGTGATTTAATTTATTATTTCGTGATAAAAGATAGTTCAAGAATAAATAAAATTAACTGATTTCACTCGCATTCAAAACAATATTATTAATTCAGACATAAATCATGTGGTATTAATTGAATTTTTTGTATACATCTTAATCAGACAATAAATTTGACGTCAATCATTTAGGATCGTTATTATAAAACGGTAAGATAAACCATATGAAAAATACTTCCAACTGAAAGTGAAATAGATAAAATGAATAAAATGTTATTACATTTTCTATAACTTCCACCATCTATCTTATGACAAAAAAAAATTAATACTAAATTCGATTTAATTTTTAATAATTGGTAACAACCAGAAAAAGTTTTTTGTTAAATTTATTTTTTAATTATGCATCAATATAAAATTAAAATTTCTTTTTCCCAAATGATAATATGTAGACATTTAAAATGAATCATATTATTTTCCAAAGTATTATAAGGAGAAATCGAGAAATTAATTGAAATTGAATGATTTATCAGTCCCTTATTCTCTTTGCTGATGAATTTGACGAATCAGTGTTGTGCCTGGTATCTTCAGTGAGTGATTATTCTGTGTAGTATTTGTCTTTCACATTTATATAAAGATGTTTATTACAAAAACATTTAACGCTTTTAGTTTCTTATGATATTGCAATTTTGAATTTATTAATGCTACTACAACAATAAAATATCCCTAAATTTAATTTAATTTAGTTTTGTTATAGGTTATCAATTATAATAAATATATGAACTAATTATTTTAATTTTGTAATTTTTTTATTTGCAAATTCAGTTTTTTCTACTTAAACGTTTAAAATAAATTTTTTTTTTTTACAGTTATTATATTTTTAATATTAAAAATCATATGTTTTGGTTTCACTAGGTACCTAGTTATTAATTATTTTAAAATTATATTTATAATTTAAATTATTCGTTTAATGATAACGATCTCCATATTCTTAAATATTATCATCATTATTATAGAATCAATGATCTGGTTTATAATTTTATCTAAAATTGTTTTTAAGTTTACTTAACTATGTATTTATATATATTCATTAACGAAAATGCTACTGTCTGTGTTTTTTTTTTTTTTTTTTTTTTTACTATATAATAAGGTTTTTTAATCATGCTCATATAATATCCTTCATAACCATTTTCATATAAATAATCAAATTACAATCTATCATTAAATTTTACATTTCATTACATAAACATTCAATGTTTTTATGATAAAAAAATTATATAAATTCAAATCTTCAATAAATACAAAATTCGATTAATTTTAATTGACAATCTAAGAATATATACTTTATAATAAATAACTAGTGTTTTGATATTAGTTTTTGGTTGTTATATTCTACGTGTCAACTGTCAATTTTTAAATAAAATAGTATATTCTAACTTTTCAAAAAATTAAAATGACTTTTTTTGTACGGTTTTCGATTGATTGTAAATTCCAAGAACAAGGAAACTGTTAAATCTCTCTGGCTGTATAAAACTATAGTCACAATAGTAACGATTGAAATTTATGTAGGTCCAAAAAACTTTTAACATTCCCTCCCTACTAAAAAAAAAAAAAAAAAAACATTATATTGGATATTACGCCATTAAATCTTTTTTCTTTTTTTACTGCAGTCCAACAATAGGAGAACACAAGGATAAACTCGTGTATATGTATACATACAACAACAATAAAAACCCTATAGTGACCCTCAACTAGGGATCGATTTCACTGGCCTGCTAAGTACGTTTAAAAATAAATGAAAACCATATTTAATCATAAAGCATATTTATTATTACATTTTAGATTTTTTTTTTTTTACTAAAATTTAAATTTATGGTTTTTTAGGATATTCGAGAAACAACCATATTTAAATACGCCTAACGTTTCCGGGATGACACCTAGGGATAATAAATTATTTAATCTCTCCTTAGTCTCCCATCGCAACTAGTACTTCCACATGAATTATAAGCTATTCATAGATAATTATATACTAAATTGAACTGAAATATGTGTTATTATTATTTTCACTTAACGTCCTATAAAAACAAATCTATATTTGTCTTTCTCTTGCAGATATTAGAAACTTAACCATAAATATTTAAAATCCCATTGAATATTTATTTTTTTAAACAACAAATAATTTTATTTAAATTAAATTATCAAAAAATCTAACCAGAGAAAGCGTTATATTCTTAGGAATTTATTTAATTAAAAAACTTACTAATTATTATCTTGAATTTTTCTTGTTTGATTTGAATTTTTAATATTACTGTAATTTAGTTGGTATTTGTAAATTGTACGATAATATTTTAAAGTATTATTTTAGAATGTTTGGTATAAAATAATTTATTCTTAATTCTTTTCTTAGATTTGTTACTTACTTTTTTAAAACAATGAAAATTAAAACTAAAACAGTATTAGAAAACAATTATATTTTTTTGATACCTTTTCATATTTTTTAAACAACTTAAACTGAATATTTCATTAAAGCTTGAAACATGAATATTTTTAATTACAAAACTTTCTCGTAAATATAGTACATTTATTGAATAATATGTAGTGTATAATTTAAAAACACAATTATGAAACTGTTGAATATAATAGTTAGAATTTTATATTTTCTATATACATATATATATACTGAGTGTTGCTGAAATGGTTAAGGAAACTAGTATATGTGTACTATCTGGAATGGCCAAATGAAGAATCTTTTGACATATTTTCTTTATTTTCAAAACCTAGGTTTTATCTATCTTTAGAACATTATTTCGAATCTAAAAATTAATACTTGTTAGATATTTTTTACAAATTTCTCACGTAAATTATTATGGGACATCGATTTCGATCTTTTCGAGCATTTTTTACGTCATGTTATATTTTCTCATTCTGGCGACTCTGGCATAAAAATCCAAAAATCGATGGATTTTTGATCAAAATCATCATTTCAATTCCTGTAAGAAATTTGTAAGAAATATCTCATAAGTATTTATTTTTAGATTCGAAATAATATTATAATTATAAAGAGATAAAATCCAGGATTTGAAGATAAAAAGAAAATTTCAAAAGATTCTTCATTTGGTCACTCCAGATAGTACGCGTATACTAGTTTCCTTAACAATTTCAGGAACATCCTGTGTGTGTATATATTTATATACATTATTGAATGTATAATGATACACTGATGCAATAACTATTAAAAACAGAAAAATGATTTTGGTGTACGCATCTTCGTAAAAATTAAGATTAAACATTGTTGATTATACTTAAGTAGTATTATGCTATGATGTTGATATACCTATATTTTTTCTTAAAAGAAAAAATAGGCAATAAGACGTCAATTGGTACACATAGTAATAAATTAACTTAATACTAAATAAGTTTAGTAAAAAGATTACCTTAATCTATGTAATTTAAATTAAAGAAATAATCAACGTTGGAATGATAGGAAATCTATATTACAGGGTATTATTTTTTATGTTATTATTTAATATAATCGTGTTATCACATTTAATTTTTTTTTAAATGTTCTATTATAATATAATTCTAAACCCTATATGCTTGTAACTTTTTACTATTATTTTTTATGTGGAATGGTAAATACGTTAACAGTTATTAAAGTAAGTTTCATTTTTAAAAAAAATAATAAAAAAGCTATTGTTTAATGACTTCTATAATTTAAACTTTATGCTTTCAATATCAACCAAAAGATTTTTTGATTTTTAATTATAATTTAAGTATATATTTTATTGTATACTAGTGTAATAATATTTGCTGGGTATACAATTATATAAGAATATTTCTTATACATATTTTTAAATTCTCAAAAAAAATCAATTTTTTATGAATTAAAAAAAGTTATTGTTTTTATAAAAAAACTGTTATAAAAAATTAGTATGCCCTATTAGGGTCTGGAACTGT